ACGTCACAAAACTTCAATGTTATTATTATTATTATTATTATTTTTTTTAACTTTCCAATTTGACTGGTTAATTTTAAAATGTTTTTGTTACCCATAAGTAGAGGATAATCCCGACAATTCATGGAGTTTGCCTAGGAAAATCTTTGACTTTATTAAAAATTTTACTCTTGCAAATTATCAGCCTGTTGTGCTAAACAGATCCTATATTATGTCGAGTAAAAAGTAAAAACAACACTGAACATTTCCCATGAAAAAGTAATTATAGCCAATTAATGTCTAAAGTATAGTGATAATCTTATATTTTTTATGCATCTCGCACGGTGGTTTTAACTTTGCATGAAAAACAATAAAGGTTTTATTAGTCAATTGCACGTGAATTTGTTTATATAGCATCCGAGATTAGTAGCTAAAGAAAATTAGTGATCTTTGATTTTACATGTATATTTTCTTTGATTTTCAAGAACTTGATTGATATATAGTCCGAATTTAATGTGACCTAAGTTGTATCCATTTCGCGATTGGGAAAGTTGGATTGAAGAACTTGATAGTTGATGATTTAATCAAAATATTGAGTTACAATAGTTTATAGTTCATCATTGAATAAAAATAGATTTGATTATATTAAATATGTTGCCTTTGTATTCGGCGTGAAGGTCACATTTTCCTGGTATTTGACTCTCACAACTTATCTGTCAGCTTATTTTTAAACATTACAAATCATGTGCATTTAAAGAGTCAACCGCAGGAACAAGTATATTTCTTGGATAAATCAAAGATTATGGTACAGTTACATGTTGTAATTTTATTAATTGGATTAGTCGGTCGCATTATTGTGGGCGGTTGTTAATTTATTTAAGCATATGCATTATTCGGTCTGTCTGTTAAATTTCACACAAATTAGTCATGTTATATCAAGCTTATTCGTTGTACGTTGGGAGATTATTTTAGATAATTAAGATTATTGCTGCTCAGTAATGGTGGTTAAGCAAGTTATTAGTTATTACATGTCCAATTTATCTGAGTTTCATTAAAAAAAATGTTTTAATAAGAATAAAAATAAATACTTATATACATAACTTCCCTAATTGATAGGCAATTACGTACATAAACAAAAATGATGCAGTTTCTGATCAATATAAGTGTATATTTTATTATCGAGTACATGAAGTTCGATGCAACCATATTTTTATACATAAATGTTATATTTATAGAAGTAACATAAATAAAAATGTTTTATTTTTATAATAAAAATATATATGCATTTTTATTTATAAATTTTGACGGATAGAAGGTATCTAACTTTCGAAAGTTTTGCACTAGGAACGAATGTCTGACATTAGTTNTTTTTTTTCCCTTTTTTTAAAAAACTATATGCTGTACAAAATATTAACTAATATTTTAATAATAATAAACGTGTGGTCCAACATTTCATATTAATTTACTTTCTGAAAATATTATACAACCAGTTTATAAAAGTACAAAAATATGATGTCACTTAGGAGCAACCGAACTAATTTCTTTGCAGTTAACTGTTTAATTGGATTCAATTAAATTATGCACCAATCTTATAAACATAACCAGGCAATGTATAATTATACATACTAACTATAAGGTGAAATTTGGATTTCTCAAAATTTCAAAATTATTATCACTAATGATAACTGGAATTTTGGATGAACTCTATCTTAGCCAGCGCGTGTGCATGTTTTTATATCAAAATAAAAATTTCAAATGCAAATGCAATCGTGTTTTGATTCTTTTGACACGCCACAACTTTTAGATAGAAGAAAAAAAAAAATTAAATTAAATATAGACAACACTTTAAATAAAGATAAATATACTTTTAGCAAAGTCTAACGATCATGTAGTCATACATTTCTTACGGACATGCTTAACTTCACACATAAGACCATCTTCAATCATCTGCTCTACTCTTGTGTAGATTTACTCTATTTTAGAGTAGATATAATGTCAAAACTTAACCTTCATCTCCATTAGTTTGCCCGATGTTTTACATTTTTACTACACATGAAATATATTAGTACTAAAACAAAAAAAAAAAATTAAATACAACAATAAAATTAAAATTTAAAATTATTGAACAAATAAATAATTTATTAATGTATACTTTGAAAATAAAATAGAATAAACATTAATTGAAAAAAAGAATTGTAGCGCGATAACAATGTCGCGCAAACTGTTCATATCTTCATAATACTACAAAAATGTAACACAACATTGAAGCAAAATTTTTGCATATCTTTGAAGTAAAGTTGCGAGTAGCATTGGACTTACTCGAAATGTCACTCTGAAAAAAAATATAAACAAAAATATGACATTTCATAATACATATAAGTGTTTTAAAAAAATTATGCTAGTCGACTCGTCTAACATTACGCCACGCGCCCACACAATAATTTGATATACAATGAAATAAAATAAAATAAAATAAAATATAGGTAATACCTATTAGTCAATTAAAGTCATTTGTGCTAGGCAGAAGATGAGGAAACATGGCAATAAATAAAAGAATAAAATAATTAGGCAATAATTAAAAGAATAGAATAATTAGGGGGAGTGAGTAGTGAGACAAGGCTCCATCGCGTCCGCATGAGTGTGTAACAAATAATTCCAGCAACAATCTACTCCTGAGATCTCCTTGAAACCTCTACACCAATTCCAGGAACTGTGCTGGAAATAACCAACCACGTGATTCCCTTTTATTTATTTATTGAAAATTTCTCCCTACAAATTATATAATTTTGCATGGATCTGGAGAATAAACAAATAAATAAATAAATAAAAAGTTATATACATAAAAGAAAGAAATGGACCTCAATGCAGACCTATGACCTATGTACATAATTCATTAATTTTATATTCACAACACACACCCTCCCTAAGTAGGGACTCAATTAAGCTTAACCACAGTTTAGTCTTTACAATGTGCTCATTTGGGGACCAGATTGATTAACTTTGCCCAAAACTAATGCGTAGGGATCTCTCAATAGGTATATTTTTGGGGAAAAATATTTTTTTTTTTAATTTTTAATTTGTGTTCTAAATTCATTTTTTTTCTTATTGGATAAATGGCATATGTTCTTCAATAAAATAAAATATGAATTGAAATATAATTTTGGAACAGTATCCACCATTTCAGGGTTTATTACACTTTTAAATTTTAATAGTATCTAAGTATAGGGACTATATATCTTTTTATCATATATATTGTGAATAAAAATAAGTAAAATTAATTTTTTTTTTCTATAAATATATATAGTGAATTCTTATTTAAAATTTTACACACTGGATAGCACCATCTTGTACGTAAGAAGACCAATTCCATATATATATTTTCATATTCCGTGTTTTCTTCAACTTGGTCGTCCATAATTGAACTACTTCCGAAAAATCAAAATGCATTTATCTATTAAATAATCAAATCTGCAAATTTGAGAATTTACGTACCCTTTTGTACTTCTCATCTAAAATACGCAATGTATATACTCTTCTGTAGCTGTAGGTAGTTGCAAATAGGATTAAAATAAAGTGACATGTTTTTTAAAGTGTGCTGGTCATGAAATCCTTTTGACCTTTCTTACCAATACAAATTAAATGGATTAGCAAAACTCACCCCACAATGCTATTATAGGCAAAGCATCGGTCTATTATAATCTATACAATGACTAGACAAACTCAGAATGTGTTTATGATCAACTACAAAATAAGACATTTATGACTCTTACTAGTTAACCTCCATACATATATATATATATATATACATATATATATATTAAGAAAAGATTATAAAAGTATATTTACTGTTTTATTCTTTGCTAGGAACGTATGCAGGGGCGGACCTAGGTAAAAAAATGAGAGGGGGCCTAATTATTTTTAATGTATTTTTAGATATCGTTATATATAACATCATTGAACTTCTGATTCTATTTTTTTTTAGCCCAACAATATTAGAATTCAACTCAAGTATATTTGAACTTAACGTAGCTCATTTTGATATATTTTCACATGCACTTTTTTTTCGAGACATTTTCTGAAAATACTTCTTCATAATTTGACATATAAAATAAATTATAACGTGTAATATGTATTATCTAATATATCAGATTTTTAAAGAGTCGTACAACTTAAGTTATCAATCACACACATATTAAATATACAATATTAGTCTTTCTGATGATTAAGAAACAATAATTAATTAACTATAAATTAAAAATGCTAAAAAGTACCTTAAGTTTTTAATTTTTCTGTAAAACCTAATAATAGAAGGGTTGGACTTTACTATCACCAAAATCAATGAGAACAAGATTTTATTTTCCAATTATCTCCTTGCTTTCCTATTTTGTGTTCCTTATCGTTTTTTAATGTAAATTGTTTTTCTTTGTATTAAACTATTTCATAAGTTTTTAGGGCTATTAAGTCATAATTTTTTTTATTTGAGTGTGGGCCTAGGCCCACCCTAGGCCATATATAGCTCCGCCCCTGAACGTATGTAAGTTGCCCTTGTACTATTTAGCCTATAAAACCTCAGCCTCCAAATGTAACACAAAATGACGAGATTATCCTCAAATTTAATACGTATATGGATCAACTAGGAGTACAATCGAGCTGAGCTGAATGACTCATCAGTGTAACAAATGAGTTGACCCAGCTTGACTTATTTAATGAACGGACAAAAGGTTTATCTCAGTTAAAAGTTTTTGAAAACTCAGCCATACTTGACTCAACCGTTTAGTAGACAAACTCAATTAGCTGATCAAAGTCGACTCGTTTAATAAATATATACAAAATGACCTCCAACTGTCACAAATGAGCCGAGTTTACAAACAACTCGGATAATTGACCACTATACTTTTGAATGAAAAAGATAGACTTTGTTGAATGTACCCTTCATTATGTCACAATCATACACAAATAACACACGTGACTTGGCCTTCCCTCTGTTCCCCTTCCTATAAATATCACCCTCCCCTTCCCAAATTTCTCACAAACAATTCCCACTAAATTAAATCAAAATACTCTCATTCTCTCTATCCCTCTCTCTCTCCCCTCTTTCTCCAAACACACACGCATACATACACAGAGTTTCCTTGTAATTTCTCATTAATGGCCGTCGACTCGATCCTTTCGTCCCCACTGGGCCCTCCGGCCTGCGAGAAAGACGCCAAAGCCCTTCAGTTCATCGAGGAAATGACCCGCAACGCCGATTCGGTCCAGGAAAACGTCCTGGCCCAAATCCTGGCCCGAAACGCCCACACTGAGTACTTATCGGGCTTCAACCTCAACGGAGCCACCGACCGCGCGACCTTCAAGTCCAAAATCCCCATGGTCACCTACGAGGACCTCCAGCCGTTGATCCAGCGAATCGCCGACGGCGACCGATCCCCAATTTTATCGGCCCACCCAGTTTCTGAATTTCTCACCAGCTCTGGAACTTCCGCCGGCGAAAGAAAACTCATGCCCACGATTAAAGAAGAATTGGACCGCCGCCAGCTGCTCTACAGCCTTCTCATGCCTGTCATGAACTTGTGAGTTCACAAAATTATTTCGAAATTATAATTTATTGTGTTCGATTTTTTTTTTTTTTTAATTTATCTAATTTTGATTTTTTTTTGTCAATTGGGAACAGATATGTGAAGGGGCTGGACAAAGGCAAGGGCCTCTACTTCCTGTTCATCAAATCCGAGACCCAAACACCCGGCGGGCTCCCGGCCCGACCCGTCCTCACTAGCTACTACAAGAGCGACCACTTCCGGGCCCGCCCCCACGACCCGTACAACGTGTACACAAGCCCGAACGAGGCCATCCTCTGCCCCGACTCCTTCCAGAGCATGTACACCCAGATGCTGTGCGGGCTTTACGAGCGCGACCAAGTCCTCCGGGTCGGGGCAGTCTTCGCCTCGGGCCTCCTCCGGGCCATCCGCTTCCTCCAGCTCAACTGGCCCCAACTCGCCACCGACATCCGATCCGGATCCCTCAACCCGGACATCACCGACCCGCCCATCCGCGCCCACATGACCCGATTCATGAAACCCGACCCGGACCTCGCCGATTTCATCACCCGCGAGTGCTCTCTAGACAACTGGGAACGGATAATCCCCCGGATCTGGCCCAACACCAAGTACCTTGACGTCATCGTGACAGGCGCCATGGCCCAATACATCCCAACCCTCGATTACTACAGCGGCGGCCTTCCCAAGGCCTGCACAATGTACGCATCCTCCGAGTGCTATTTCGGGCTCAACCTCAACCCAATGTGCCGGCCCGCCGAAGTCTCCTACACAATCATGCCAAACATGGCCTACTTCGAATTCCTCCCCCATACCACCGAGCCGGCCCAAACCGACCCGGCCTGTCTCGTCGACCTCGCCGATGTCGAGGTCGGCAAGGAATACGAGCTCGTGATCACCACCTACGCGGGGCTCTACCGCTACCGAGTTGGAGACATCCTCCGAGTCACCGGCTTCCACAACTCGGCCCCCCAATTCCAGTTCGTGAGGCGAAAGAACGTCCTACTCAGCATCGACTCAGACAAGACTGACGAGGCCGAACTACAAACTGCAGTCGAGAGCGCTTCAAAGATGCTACAAAAGTTCAACATGGCGGTTGTCGAGTACACGAGCTGCGCAGACACGAGCACTATCCCGGGACACTACGTGATATACTGGGAGCTGCTGGCGAGGGACCCGGTCAACTCGCCGAGTCGGGAGGTGCTGGACGGGTGTTGTTTGGCGATGGAGGAGTCGCTCAACTCGGTGTACAGGCAGTGCCGGGTGGCGGATAACTCGATTGGCCCGCTAGAGATTCGAGTCGTGAGGAGCGGGACTTTTGAGGAGCTAATGGACTATGCTATCTCGAGAGGGGCCTCGATTAATCAGTATAAGGCGCCGAGGTGCGTGAGCTATTCGCCTATTATGGAGTTGCTCGACTCGCGGGTCGTTTCGTCACATTTTAGCCCGTCGTTGCCGCATTGGACGCCGGAGAGAAGGAGGTGAAGGAAAAATTAAATTGAAAGGGTGGGAAAAAAAAAGACTAAGTAAAATTAAATATGTATTAGTGAAATTGTCAATGTGGGGAGATTCCTTGGCTTTATTTTTTGTTTTTTTTTTTACCTTTTGTTTATTTTGGGTGTGTGTTGGTTTTGTAATTTGGATTAGGTGTGTAAAGTACGTGTGAGAAGTTAGGTGTTGTGTGGTGTGTGGGTTGGGTTAAGCTGTGAAAAGGACTGTGATGATATGTTGAATGAGTTTGAAGTTGGATTAGGTTTGTGAGGTTAAAGTAACTGATTGCTAGTGATGTTATTGAGATGAAGTAATTATCAGTGGTTTGACGAATTTTGGTGGTGTTTTAATGTCGACGTAACTTAACGAGTGGTTCTTGGGGAAGAATTCGGAGTTTTTTCGGCTGTGTTAGGCAGCAGGAAATGATCAGACGGGGCCAAAAGGTGTCTATATAATAATCCTCATCCTCATCTTATAAAAGTCAAATAAAACAAAATTTTATGCGAGTCAAAACAATCCATGGTCCTTCGCGTCATAAATTTATAATAAAAGTACACTGCATTTAATTAATATAAATATCCTAATACAAATATTTAAATAATAAATGGAATTCACTAAACAGTAAAAAAAAACAACAAAAAAATAATAATGTAAGTCATAGTTTAAGTTTAAGTATGTACAATCTATATGTATATATAATAAGAATTACCATTTACTAAAAATAGTAGCAAAAGATTTAGGAAACATTTAATGCATGCCGTTTTTGGAAGCTTTATATGACAACAAAGTTTATAATAAAATAATAATCTATACTTATATTAAAAGGTATATCATTTACCAAATTTAGTATAAAGAAAAGTCAACAACATTTATTGTATTACTATTTTCGTATTATATAATTGTTGACGGGCGTTTCCGGTCAACGGTTAAAAAAGATAAATTGTGAAAAAGTAACGAGAAAAGACCAAGGAATGTGGTTTAACTACGATTTTATTAACTGATCACGAGGTCGGCCTCTCGTACGAGGTCGGCACTTGCGATATACTTACAAATTCTTACACAAATTCCTTACAAGTTTAGAGAGAGAAAATGTAGAGAGAGTTGAGACAGTTGGGCTTCAACAACCCAGAAATAAATGAAGTGGGCTGCTATTTATAGTGACCTTAAATGTGGCACTGTTCAGATACTGTTCATCGGTCTTGTCGTACAGTATCCTTGCAGAGCAATCCGGCGCCTCCCTAACAAAATTTAATGCGATTTGAGGTTTTTCTCATCATTGCCTGGCAGACATTTAATGCACACATGGGGGTCATTTAATGCTGGCAGGCTTTATGTCTTGGCTAGTGGATGTAGATCTGCAAGCTAGGACGCCCCGTCTAATCACCAATGATTGCTCTCCAAGTGGCACTATTATATTGTTATCGAGACCGGCATCCGTCATTGGAGGTCCGTTCTGAGACCTCAAGTCGGCCCCCGCTTCCGTTTTGCTCCTTCAGCCCCGGGGAGCTTTTCTCCAGCCCGTTACTCATCAGGCCGGCACCGGTACTTTGCTGTCGCAAACACCGGGCTAATGGATGGACCCACAGAGGTGTCAGGGTCAATCAATTTCGGAGTTCAGCCCGGCACCTTTGCACTGGACCGGGTCTCCGGTCCGGCTTTCGAAGCTGCCTTGTCCGGTTTCTTTCGGGGGCGAATTCGGATGTCAACAATAATCTATACTTATATATAAGTAGATTCTATTTACTACATTTACTATCCAGAAAAGTCAACTGCATTAAATGCCATTACTATTTTGATATTATAATATTTTATTTATTTAATTGATTTATTTATTTGTTTTATTTTAAAAAAGTAAGTATAATAAAAAGATTTTAATAATAAAAAAATCAAATACCAAATAAAAATGTACACTTTGACAAATAAAACAAATCTATACACTTACAACAATTCTACTACACTATTTAACAATATTTTTTTTATTATATAGTAAAATAATAATTAAATATTATATGGTGAACAACAATAAGTAAAATTGTTACTTTCTCTTATATCAAGGGATAAATTTATATGCTAAAATTAATTTTTTATTAGTATAAATGTTTTAGTGAGATAATATATTAATTATTTTACAAGCTAACCCTAACATGCTCATATTTAATGTTTTAAAAGATGTAGAAAAAAAAAACTTATAATAACTCTATTGTTTTTCAGACTTAAACGTTGATTAAAAGAGATAAAAATTCCTAATTTTTTAGACTTAAACGTTGATTAACACCATAGATTGAGAGTTTATATTTAGTAAAATTCATTATAAAAAAAAAAAGAAGAAAAAAAATTATAATGAAAAAAGCAAGTCAGCTATATATCGATTTGCTGTACTCCTCAAATCACATTCACAATTTGACTACAAGGAAAGGAAACTCATTGATTAAAATATTATTTTGTCAGTAGTCTTAATGTACAAGAGACTTTAAGACTCGACTTGAATATTATAAAACTTTTATTGAACATTGTACAATTTTTTTGCTTATTATAAACTTTTATTGAATATTGCATCTTATAATATAATATTCTCCAAATAAATATATCTCGTGCTTCGCACGGGTCACGTACTATATATATCCCGTACATTTTTCTTTATTCATGTATATAATTATAAGTCTGGATAAATAGCTTTAAAATTGTGCACCCCGTGTATCGCGCGGGCTCTGTACTAGTTAAGTATTATATGGTGCACAAGAATAAGTAAAATTGATATTCTCTCTTATATCAAGGAATAAATATATATATATATATATATACTAAAATCAAATTTATATTAGTATAAATGTATTAGTGAGATAATATATTAATTATTTTACTACACTTAACGCTGATTAAGAGAGATGGAAAATATATGATAACCATATTGCTTTATATACTTAAACGGACAAAGACTGTAAAAATAACTCATTTAATATGGATGTCCCATGCATTGCACGGGGTACGTACTAGTTTAACTTAATTCTAACTACTACATTTGAAATTTCATTATTTAATAAAATAATGTAGTAGAAATAGACGATAAATATTTCACTATTCAACTTAGGATTTTGCATATTCAAACTTTTAATTTAAAATCATCATCAAAATTTTTAGTTTTTAGTTGTTATTTGAAAATATGACTCTAATTCCTCATTAAAAATATAGATTTTATTTTATTGTTTAAATATCGTTGCAAAATATAACGTAAAATAACACAAAATAACATTAAATAGTATGTCATTTAACATTTCATGTAACCTTTTCGAGAAAAACGCTAAATATTTAAAGTTATATC